TTCTCAGTGCAGTGCTTTAACCCGCTGCGCCTCCAGGGAGGGCCGCAAATCTAATTTCTTGATATTTGTAATACAACAGAAATCTATGGCTACTGGACCGGTGACTGACATCATGGATAGTTATATGTGGTTCACTCAAATTTTCAATCTAAACAATGTTGAAAGTTATAAATATACATCTTATATAATAAACAGAGAGATATGTTAAAGTAGACATAGAAAACTGCTGGAAGAAGAGGGTCATATTCTAAAGGGTGGTTGGAGAAATCTGATCCTGAGAATTCAGAATGAGACGGGAAGGAAGGGACGAGGTGTTAGAATGCTCATAGAAAAAAACATTCTAAGACACAGAAAATACATTAGGAAAGTTAAATATTATATTCATGAGTACTCACATCCAAAACATATGACTTTTTAAAAGAGCTGTTTAATTTGTTAGTAGTGAGTCCACACAATCGCAAATGTCATTCCTAATAAATATTAAATTCAGGGGATCTCAGAACTAAGGAGAAATCTGTTAACAAACCTAAAAGCATACAATTGACATAGATGTTTTTACTTTTCTGGTTCACTGTGATGTTCATTATTGAATGTACTCTCTTCCAAATTCTACATAATATAAGTAAATCAGAGGCTTATGTCATTCTTGTTTGGAATAATTACAAGCTCATGTTAGTTAAATATTTTAGTAGTTCAACTGCAAAAAAAAAAAAGGATTATTATGAAATATAATGGAATCATCCATCAACTCAATAGCATCATGATTGAATGAAATGAACTAAAAGGCCAGGGATCCTGAGTTTAACTCAGACACTCATTTATGTTGTTTGACCTAGGGGAAATGTTTCACTTGTCAACTGATTAATCTTCTAGAACATGTCCAAGAATTAGGATATATTATATTGCAGAGATGTAGGTAAGCACATACAAGGAGTACATACAAGGTTTGCTAGATATTGAAAGAATTCAATAATTATTTGCTCATCTTCACATAGAAAAGAACTGATGTGGGGAGATCCACATGATATAGATGGGATTTCACAATTTCAATCTTTTTTGCAAGGCCCACTGAATTTATAAGTAGTTGGTGGCAGATAAAGAAGCCCTGCTTTTTCTTGATGTCCAGATCTTATTTTACACTGTCTCTGATGGTAGAAAGGGGTTTGTTTGCCACTATATAGAATACTGTGAGATTTCATCAAAGTAGTTTCAAAGCATTCTA